ACGAACATTATGTTACAAATATTAAGTAAGTGTGATGCAATTCCAAAGACATTTTTTCCTGATTGTGTATATACAATTAAAATTAAAACATGTATTGCAATGGGATAAGACTTATGGAATTCTAACCAGCAGGATTCCAGTAAGCTAATAAAAGGAAATCAACGATATGCAAGGGTATTAAGCAGAGGTAATATCATCATTCAACATCAGCTTGTTTTCCTCTATTGAGATCAAACAGAAGTGATAAAAATGGACTTGTCAATTGCATTACACCCCTCTCAGAACATGGCAACAGCAGGAAGTAAGGTGATCTGGGCTGTGAGAAGCAGCTGGAGGTATGAATCTCAGCAGGGTAGGAAAATAAGTCAGTCCCAAAAAACCATGCCACAACATCCTTGTGGGTCACAACAGCAGCCTGAAGAGCAGAATAAACCAAGAGGTGGTGAGCTGGCTGTAAGCAAAGCTTTGATGGCTTAAGAACTCGTAAGTTACTTAACCCCCCTCACCCACAGGGAGAGAAAAGATGCTTCTGTGCACTCTTTCACAATGGGTATGTGCAATGCTGAGCTCAGTGCAATTAGCAGGCAAGCCAGTCACTGGTTTGGCTTGATGCTACACTTTGATCTGAGTACCTATTACTAGGCATGTGCGAAACAGGCCATATTCAATTCAAATTCAGCCCGAATCAGGGGACAGTGATTCAATTAGTTGATTCGGATGACTGTCCCCAATTCGATTCAACTGAATCTGAAGATTGATGCTGATTCAGAGAATCAGCGATTTGGCCATAGACACAGCTTTAAATATTTTTTCTACATACCTCGAGGTACCAGGCACAGCTCCTGAACACTGCAAAGGTGGGGCGGATGGAGCATCCCACAGGAACATGGAGGGCCCCACTACGTGCTTGGCAGCAGACCCAGAAGTGGACCAGAAGTGGATACTTCCAGGTCCACCGCCAAGCGCATGGGGGACCCCCCTCCGTGCCCTCCAGGCTTGGCAACTGGCCAGGGGGGGAGCCTGGGTGCCCCCCCAGACCCAGGAGGCACCAGTCACTGAGCCAGGGGGCCAGTATGAGGGTGGGAGCAAGGCACCTATACCAGCCCCCAACATATCCCATTATGCCTCACTCCCACCCTTGTGGATGGAAGGGCTGGCCCAGCTAGCATGGGTGAGGTTGCTGCTGCAGGCTTCCCTGGTGTGCCGTTCTCTCTAGGCAGCAGATAGGAAGTGGGGAGGGGAAGCGGCAGCTGAGTGGGAGTGCGGAGCCAGGGGGATGGCAGCAGTGCAGAGCTCAGGTGGGCAGGGTGGGCGTGTAAGGGGGGAGGGACATGGGGACTTTCCCCCATGCCACACAGCCCTGGCAGGTAGCAGGGCAGCAGCAGCCATTGGGGTGGTGATCTGCTTGGCGATGGTGCCTGGCAACTGCTTCCAGCCAGCGCTGCAAGGAGTGCAGCTCCTGCTGAGCCTTTTGTTTCCCTGGCACTCCCTGCACTTGCAGGGCACAGGAGGGAAGCCCGAGACACTGGAGAGGGCTGTAGTGGCAGAAGCAGCCAGCTCCAGAGCCTGGGGCTTTTCTCCTGTCCATACCAAGCGTGTGGAGTGCTGGGGAAACAAACGGCTCAGCGGGGCTACACTCCTCACAGTGATGTGCAGAGCCAACACCCGTGCCCTTGCCTGCTGCTGTGTTGGGGGGGGGGGATGCAGGGCGGTTCCCACACCCCACACAAACATATCAGCGTTGCCTGCATTGACTGCAGGAGAGGACTGTATTCCAGAGACCAGTGTATTCCAGAGCTACACACCCACACCCCACAAATGCCACACAACCACCCAACATTCCCTATGCCCCCCACACAGCCACACCCCCTCACAAACTCCCGCCACACCCACCATAAACACTCCCACACTCTCCCCACCCACACACCCACCTACCCCCACACACACACCCAGCCACACCCCTCCACATAATATAAAAGACTAAGAATTTATTTTTCAGTTATTATGCAATTACCTCTATATACAGTACACAAATACAAATCACGAAAAAAATATTTTCTGTAACAATGTTATAGTAGGTGTTTGACTTCTAGTGTATGATTTGATTTTTTCTGGTTCTAAGATGGCAGCCCTGCCTCCCCCCGGCAAAGCAGTATTTCTGGGGGGGAAAGGGAGGAACTTCTGGTGGCAAATGCCAGGGGTGGGGCTTCTAGTCTCAAGATGGCAGCCAGGAGGCAGGGCACCTGTCAAGGGGCAGGCCTACCCATGCGGCTCTTGACAGCTCGCCAAACTTCATTAAGCAGCCCTCTTCCCAAAAATCATTGCCCCCACCCTGCCCTATGCAGTAGGGCCATACAAAGCTTTGGTCTGATTAGGTGGCCGAATTTCCGAATTGAATCATGAAACCCTTTAATCTCTCTGAATCAATTTGGGGGGTCCGATTTGATTCGGAGTAATTCAGAGATCTGGACATAGATACATCTTCAAATATTTTTTCTACACACCTCAAGGTACGAGGCAGCTCACGAACGCTGAGATGCTGGGACAGATGGAGTGTCTCACAGCAGTACAAGGGGTCCCCAGCACGCTTGGCCGAAGACCCAGAAGCACACCAGAAGCACTTCCAGTCCACTTCTGGGTCTGCTGGGGAGTGCGCTGGGAGGCTTCCCTCTCGACCCCCTGGCTCAGTGACTGGTGCCTCCTGGGACTGAGGGGGCACCTGGGGTCCCCCCCCATGGCTGATTGCCTAACAGAGGGTGCAGGAGGCACCCCCTGGTGGACCCAGAAGTGGACTGGAAGTACTTATGGTCCACTTCTGGGTATGTCGCCAAGAACACTGAGGAGCCCCCTGCGCTCCTGTGAGACGCTCCATCCGCCCCAGCATCACAGCGTTCATGAGCCACACCTGGTATCTCAAGGTATGTAGAAAAAACATTTCAGCCATAGACACAGCTTTAATTGCTAATTCTCTGAAGCAGCATTGAATCTTCAGATTCGGCTGAGTCGAATTGGGGACAGTCATCCGAATCAACTATCTGAATCGCTGTCCCCCGATTTGGGCCAAATCCAAATCCAAATTGAATAGGCCCATTTTGCACACCCCTACTAAGCAGACATTTTTCTTGTATTCATTTCAGCCAATGAACCCGTTGCAGGGTCAACCTTTTTATTTAGCCAGTGTAATTTCCTATCTTGTGATTGTAAATTTTAGCGCACAGTAGTCTCATTTAATATAGGTATTAGATGCTATCCTTTGGGCTGTTAATTTCACATATAATATATTCATCATATATTGATTTTTATGTGCAAATTTAATCTCACAGAAAAATACTGACCACTTTCCTTACATTATGTATTATGCCAAAGTGAAAATGCAGTTATGACAGAGTCACTTGTTGAAAAAAAATACAGAAATCATACTCAAAACTGAACTGAAGTTACAGAGGCTTGACCCCAACTATAGGAGCATGTGGACAATAACAATTCCATTGTAACAACTTATACTGGCATAATTGCACAAGAAACTAACAGTTATGTCTGTCCACAATGGAGTTATTCCAAAACGGCTATTCAGGAATAGGTATTCTTAATAACTGAGTGTGGGGATACTTGTGTATTAAGTTATAACAGAAAAATAGCACTTGCTTTAGAATAAAAGCACATAAATAGGAAGTTCTTCTGGAATTGTATTACTGCATTTTAACTGAACCAGGCATAATTTTCTACGCAGATATGATCCACGTGAAAAATCTGTCTTGGGCAGAAGCTTGAAGAGTGTTACTGGTCTGTGATACGTTGAATAACTGTGTTAAAGTATTAAAATAAAAAGGACAACATACTTCCTTCCTGCACTACTCTAGTAACCTCCATATTGAAAAGTTAGAAAATATCATTTTCCTACTTCTGGTCTTTTATAGGGTGCTATCTATTACTTACAGTGCCCCCAACCATGATTTGGACCTCCCAGTACAGGCTGAAACCTGTAACCTACAAACGTAGATATGTCAATGACTGCAACACCCAGCAATAGCATGTCCACAGAGCTGTTATGCTAGGAAATTTGCTATTTTTTAGATTTGCTTTGCCAACGGAAAACAAAGCTGAGGACTATGTGCGCAGTTTGCTGATGCTGATAAATGGGCTTCCTTAGGGAGTCACGAAGGAATCACAATTCTTTGAATAAACCTTCCTGCAAGCTCTAGTGTCTCTTCCCACCTCCCCAACCTAGCTGCTCTCCTGGTCTGACCCCAGCTCTTCTGCTGGAAAGTGTCCACCTGCCACTGCCACTTCTGGATGTAACACAGACAACAATAATGCCTAGAAATGCTCCAAGCTGGGGCCTTCCACAGCCAGGACAGCCCTGCAGCCCAGGTTCACTCAGGCCTGTGTGTGCCCCTGGAGGGGGGACAGGTCATGACCCACACTCTCCCCACCAGGGCAAGCTTGAGCTGCTAGAAAGTGAGTTATGGCCCCCGGAACAGCTAGCGGAGGGGAGGGGGGACCGGTTCCTCCCGGGGGGCCAGGCGGGGTCAGCCTCCCCTTGCCCCTAGGGTGCCCGTGCGGGGGAGCAGGGGACCAGCGGGTCACACTCTGGCAAACGGGCAGGGGAGACCAGGGTCTGTCCCTCTCCCGCTCTTTAGTCCCTCAGGAGCCCAGGGAGGCAGGGAGAGACCCGTCGGTCCTGCCCGGGGGGCCACAGGGTATCTATCTCTGGCGAGGTGGAGCCCGTGCCCGGGGGGGGGGCGTGTGTCCGCCCGCGCCGTCCTCACCTTCTTGATATTGGACTTAGAGGCTGGGTGAAAATCCTTCTTGCACATGAAGTTGGCGAACGACTTCCCCATGATGGCGGCGGCGGGCAGCGACAGCGGCCACAGCTAAGAGCGCCACTGCCCCGAGCCCAGCTGCGTCCGTACGTCCCTCCCGTCCGGCCTTGTGCCCCGCTTCCGGCGCGGGGGCGGGGCTTCCGGCAAGGGCGGGGCCCCGCGACCCGGCGGCCCCGCCCGGGCAGGGTCAGGGCCATGGCCGCGATGGCGGGGTTGGGGGAGCCGCGCTCCTGCGATACGTTCGTGGCGCTGCCGCCCGCCACCGCCGGCGCCCGCCTCATCTTCGGCAAGAACTCGGACCGCGAGGCCGGCGAGGTGCAGGAGGTGCTGCACTGCCCCGCCGCCCGCCACGCGCCGCGCGCCCGCCTCCAGGTACCGCCCCGTCCCGTCCGCTCGCTAGCTGCACTAGGAGCAACACCCCCGCTCCTTCAATGAGCGGGCGGGACTGCCCGGGGGGGAGGCAGAGCCCAGCTACCGGGG